GTACTGAAAACTAACTTCAGTGAATGGTTCATAGAAATTCTAATATTTCTAAAGTATAGCATCAAAGCAAGTAGATTCCTATGAGACATGATGTGTATTTTGACATTTCTTTTTATTTAACACTGGTACATTACTATTTCTTCAGTTGATGCACATCATTGTATATATATTTCATCCACATGTTCACGAATTTCCAGGCATTTGGTTCACTTTCAATCACTTCCTGCTTCAGAACATATGTACTTCTGTATGTTTCTGGACTGGTGTTTTCAGGAGACTTTTTTTCAAACACATTATTTTCGTTTTCCATTATCACTTTTAAGCAAAACTCACACACCCTTCATGGAAAACCATAACCCTAATATTATAATTAGATGTATAACTGGTTGGAATGAATGATTGTGTATCAATATTAGATTTCCTATATATTTTCAGATATCAATGCAATCCATTGTTTAAATTGGAACCAGTTCTGTTATTTATTCATAGTATTGTCTATTCATGCATTATCTCTATATTCATAGACACAGGGTACATCTATTTGTGCCCCCAAATACTAATTAATATGTCTTCAAGATATTACTACTAGAAATGGTAGAAGAAATACTCATGTCACCTGATCTACATATACATTTTATCACAGTGATATTCTGGACACAAAATTCAATATTCACACTTATGATTGTACCAAAGGCTAAATGAAAGTTAGCATGGATTACTAAAAACATCCTTGTCCAGGTTGCCTAACACTCTCAAATGTCAATCCTATTGGTGACTACACAGTTGCTTTTCCCTATGATTATACATTCAACCTCAACCCTGTTCAAAATATCTAATCCTATCACTCACTTTATAATTTGCCTGATTTCCTAATTTCTCTATGGATATCTGCTTTCCTACAGGATTTCCCCAGTTCATCACTGTGACTGACTCTTCACATGTGCTGACATTTACATTCACTCTCTAACTGACAACCTACTGCTAAAGAACTTTTGGTTCAAATTTTATACTCACTCTTCTTCCTAAACCGACTGACTTTCTTCCTAATCCTACCTACTATTCCTTTTTGACTGGATGTTCTTTTCAACATTCAATCATCCAAGGTACAATGTCTTATGCCATTGTATATCAATTTATCTGAGACATCTGTGCAGAATGTAATTCAAAGCTAAGTATCCCAATCAAGGGCCCAATGGCCTTTTTGGCTTCAAATCTTAGATTTTTGTTTTCATACAGATATTTTACCTATATATTATTATAAATATTCCAGGTTCCCAATACCATTCTTCATCCAGGAGAATGATTCCTAACCCAAATGGAACTTGTTCTTACCCCTAACCATACACTGTTCCCTCAATCCAAGTTTACAGAAGAGCAGGGACAGAGTTGGTCTTACAATACAGGAATGTAGGGCATCTGCCACCTGCTGAGAACCTCAAAGGTCCATGCAGAAATGATCTCTGGAGAAGATGTAGGCAGCTATAAAGGACCTGAGAGAGCAAAAGTCATCTTTCATGCCAAACAACCTGGACAGGATGAAGAGATGTGTCTGAATGAGCCTCTCTCTTTTTAATGTAGACAAGATGCACCAAACCAGGCCTGTGTGGAGAGCTGTTCTTGGGTGCCCATTGTGGATATACCATTCTAACTTGTGAAAGTGTCACAGGAAGTGAGGGCAACCTCCATCTCATGGGACCCTTGGAAGCAACTGTTAGGACAAAGTGGTTGCCAAGCAAGTGACCTCATTAAGTTCCTGAAGGAAGTGACCTCACCTCACTTCCTTGGTGATGGAACTCTATGAACTTGGGATCCAGGAAGCTGGCACCCAGAGCCAGTCCCAGTCCCAGTCCCAGTGGCCTCACTTGTTTGAATTTACCAAAGACAGAGTCAGTCTTTCTTGATACCTACTAATGTGACGATTGCCAAATGCCAGGAAAGCTCTGAAGAGGTTACTTTCCTGAGAAAGCAGGTAGTGAATGCTCACCGCTGGCTCCTGACAACTTCACAGAGTTGGCCAAGAAGGCCAGATCTGAGAGAGGACAGGCCATTTTGGGGGAACATAGTATGGCCCACCAGTCAGATGACACTCCAAATAGTCACATACCTACTTGGGGGAAGAAGGTGCCTTTGTGGGTGTGGGTGTGAGATTGTGGTTTTGTTTCAAGTTCTAAGAATAGGTAGGAAAGGCGGTTTGTTTGATTTGGAGTGGACTGTTTCTAGTAAGTTGTTTGACAAGGCGAGTATTTCTATGTCTGTGTATCCCACTGTGTCTCTTGTTGTAGACATTACAAAAGAGAATACATCAATGGATGTATCCTGTCTAGTAGAAAACTTCCCATCATTCATCCTGCCCAATTTATGAATTTACTTTAGCTTGCCTTATGGATGGGCAACACCTACTATCTTCCTAAGTTCCTGTTTTCTTCCTGAATTCTGGCCACTCTCCAGAATAGGCTCATGGTTTTGTGTGCAAAATATTTACCACCTCCCAGCTCTATGACATGGAAATGTACTGGATAACTGAAGGGAAATTGGAGCATCTCAGTAAACTCAGATATCAATGTGATCAGCAAAGTGTCAGTGGAGAAACCCTGCTTTGGGCCTTTTGCTTACCTATTATTCTGTTGCCCTAAATGTCAGGAGGGTCTTTGACTCAGGCCACCCCTTTGTGAAGCCTGAAGGAAAGGGTTTTCAAATGGAAAGGAATGGTCATCACCTGTGACTTTTTGCTTAATTGCTTTGCAAAGGGATGTTTCTGAATCAGCCTCTTGGCCCTGTGTGAGGCTGTGGCTTAGATTCTCAGCACCTGATGGATTAAAGAAAGATCCCATGTGTGCATCCAAAGCCAGAATGGCAAAAAGAATAGTTATTGTGGATGAAGTCTCTTGCCTTCCTCTGTAGGGTTCCTGAATTCTATCAAGTGAGAATAGGGATCCTTTGGGTCAAATGAGTTTTTCAAAGCCCTGCAAAGGATAGCCCATATGTTCTTGGGTTTTCTCATGACTCCAATTCACACAAAGAATCTATGCCTGACAGTAAGTAGGTCTCAAATTGGAGAAGCAGAGCAGTATTAAAGGCAAGCATATTTGCTCACTCCTGCTTCACAGGAAGGGTGTCCAGGCCACCCTGAGATTAGGCAAGTGAGGGGCAAGTGAGCTTATTTTTGACACTCTCTTGGGCTGCGCCCCTCATGGAAACCACCAGCCAGAGGTTATGATGAGTGTCTATATGGAAGAAGATGAGGGCCCTGTGGCAGTGTTTTGGTTTGAATTGTGCTCATTTGTGTTGCAGTTGGTAGAGATGACTGGGTCCACCTGGGCTTCAATTCTGGCGTGATTCCCTTTGGAGACTGAGTTCTTTAACTTAACTCAGAGAAGTATTGCCATGAATTGTGTTGGGATTTTAAGAGGCCACACATGAGATTCGCCTTTGGAAACTGAGATCTAGGCCCAGGGTGGCTTTCCACAGAGCACTGGGAATCTCATCCAGGATATCACATGATTTTATTCTTTAAGACCTGGCAGCCACAGTTGAGAGTGAAAACACACATGGACCTCACATTGTAGACCTTAATGGGCCTGGCTTCATGTGACCTTTTGGCCACTCTTGGGAAGCCTTGCCTCTGAGTGTTTCTCCAGAGCTTTCATTGAAATGAGCTTTCTCACCATTTAGTGGTTCTTGAATGAATAGAAACCCACAGTGTCTTTAAGTTCATCCTTGAAAAATGGCTTGATAAATACCATGAGATTATTGAAATTCCCTTGACCAGGTGGCGCTGGAGAACCTTTGGATGTCCTATTGCTGATTATGAGTGTAAAGTGCCTTGATTGACTGGGTTTCATAAAAATGGTGTAGAGGAGAGATGCCAGTAAGATGGAGCCTAGTGATTTGTGTGCCCACAGCAGTGGAGTTCAGGTGTGTGATAAAACATCTGTTGTGAAGCCATGTGGATCTGCCATTGGCTTCCAAATGGCTTGTGACTGACATGGTGCAGCCAGCAGAACCTTACATGTAAAGGCATCTTGTTATATGGAGAGGTTTCATGGCAATGTTCAGAATCAGGTTGCTATGGTCAAGGGAGCAAGCTCAGCGGGATAGAAGCCTGGTTGGTGCATTCTTTTAGGACCCTGAGTGAGCACAAGTGACAGAACTCCCTCCAGCACTGTGTGCCAGTTTAACTCCTTGTATTTCATAAAGGCAATAGGAAACTCCCAGTGAAGCAACAAGAAACACCAGGAAAAGTGGAGGATGACCAAATGGCCTCACAGTCCACACGAGGAGACACTTAGATCCCAGTGGCCACAGTTCACCTACAAAGAGAGAATTCAGCACTGCTGCCTCATGTTCATTGGAAAATCAGAAACCATGCCCTCCTGGTCACATAGATGCAGACCAAGCTTTGATAGTCTCACTACAAAGTAAGCTAAAGCTCCTGACAACAACATATATTTCAAGTGCCCAACCTCAGAGGCAGTTTCCCAAGAAGTGTTTAGGCCAGCAGAGCTCCATGTTTTTGGAGTGTCTACCCTGTCCCCTACTTATGGAAACTCCTCTACCATTTCCAAGGTTGTGAACTCCTGAGCATTTTCCATTGCAGATATGTATTCACAGATTTACTAACTCTTATCCAAGAATTGTGTCTTACTTGGGGCAAAGGTTATGTCAAGGCATTTTTCTGGATGAGAGTGGGAAGATATTTGTGTAGCACCTAATTGCATACACATTGGATTCATTTTCCTATTTTCCATTGGAAATATTGAATCCCTGACACTAACCCATAACCTACTAGACTCTGATTTCGAATCCTGATATAATGGAGGAAAATAACCCAAACAGAATAGAAATACAAGCAGTTCAGAGGAGGCATGGTGTATAGTTGGACTTTCCTTTTGCATTATAAAGGCTAGGTATTATAAATCTAGTCCAATTTAAGAGAAGCAGTTCTCTATGTGTTTGTAAAATTAACAAATATGTGAATTCCTGTCTCCCTTTCTCTGTAGGCTATTCAGCACATGTATTTTTACATGCACATATAGAATCCTACCTGGTATCCCACGTACATTCTTGTGAGGTGGCTGACTTTGCAGATGCAAATTGTGAGAAGAGATCACTCCTCCTAAACGCTTTTGGAAGTGAAAATTCAACCAATGGGTGGTCTTTCTACTTGAACAACATGATACATAAATCCATGTTCAGTGAAATAAATATATTTGTATCTGTGGATGATATATATATTCCATGATGAATTTTGATTGGCATATATGTTTCTGCGTTTTAATGTCTGTGTATGTTTGTTTTGTTTGTATATATGTATATATATACAGACACACACTCTCCAGATTTTTCAAAATATGAAATATATGTGTCTTATTTTACACTCCCTAAATTCATTCATGTTCATGTATGTGGATTTATAATCAACTATTCACAACATTATTCTCAGAAATATTCATCCACCTGAAATACATATTTGTTTCCTAGTACTGAAAACGAACTTCAGTTAATGGTTCATAGAAATCTTAATATCTTTAAAGTAACTGACCCAGTTTTGCATCAATGCAAGTAGATTCCTGTTAGACATGATATGTATTTTGACGTTCCTTTTTATTCAACACTGGTACATTACTATTTCTTCAGTTGAATACATCATTGGATATATATTTCATCCACAAATACGCAAATTTCCAGGCATTTGGTTCACTATCAATCACTTTCTTCTTCAGAACACATGTACCCCTGTATTTTTCTGAACTGGTCTTTTCAGGAGACTTATTTCCAAACACATTATTTTCAATTTCCATAATCACTTCTCAAGTAAAACTCACACACCCTTCATGGAAAACCATAACCCTAATATCACCATTACATGTATAACTGGTTGGAATGAATGATTGTGTATCAATTTTAGATTTCCTATATATTTTCAGATATCAATGCAATCCATTATTTAAATTGGAACCAGTTATATTATTTATTCACTGTATGGTGTATTCATGCATTATCTCTATATTCATAGACACAGGGTACATCTATTTGTGCCCCCCAATAGTAATTAATACATCTTCAAGATATTGCTCCCAGAAATGGTGGAAGAAATACTCATGTCACCTGATCTACATATACATTTTTTCACAGTGATATTCTGGACACAAAATGCAAAGTTCACACTTATGATTGTACCAAAGGCTAAATGGAAAGTGAGCATGGATTACTAAAAACATCCTTGTCCAGGTTGCCTAATGCTCCCAAATGTCAATCCTATTGGTGACTACATAGTTTTTTCTTCCTAAGATTATATATTCACCCTCAACCCTGTTGAAAATATCTAATCCTATTACACATTTTATACTTTTCCTGATTTCCTAATTTCTCTATGGATATCTGCTTTCCTACAGAATTTCCCCAGTTCATCATTGTGACTGACCCTTCACATGTGCTGACGTTTACATTCACTCTCGAACTTAGAACCTACTGCTAAAGATCTTTTGGTCCAAATTTTATACTCACTCTTCTTCCTAAACCAACTGACTATCTTCCTAATCCTACCTACTATTCTTTTTTGACTGGATGTTCTCTTCCACATTCAATCATCCAAGGTACAAGGTCTTATGCCATTGAATATCATTTTATCTGAGACTTCGGTGCAGAATTTAATTCAAAGCTAAATATCCCAATCAAGGGCCCAATGCCTTTCTTGGCTTCAAATCTTACTTAGATTTTCGTTTTCATACAAATATTTCACCTATATGTTATTATAAATATTGCAGGTTTTAAATACTGTTCTTCATCCAGCAGAATAATTCCTAACCCAAATGGAACATGTTCTTACCCCTATCCATACACTGTTCCCTCAATCCAAGATTACAGAAGAGCAGGGACAGAGTTGGTCTTATAATACAGGAATGTAGGGCATCTGCCACGTTTTGAGAACCTCAAAGGTCCATGCAGAAATGATCCCTGGAGAAGATGTAGGCAGCTATGAAGGACCTGAGAGAGCAAAAGTCATCTTCCATTGCAAACAACCTGGTCAGGATGAAGGGATGTGTCTAAATGAGCCTCTCTCTTCTTAATGTAGACAAGATGGACCAAACCAGGCCTGTGTGGAAAGCTGTTCCTGGGTGCTTATGGTGGATATACCATTCTAACTTGTGAAAGTTTCACAGGAAGCAGGAGCAGCCTCCATCTCATGGGACCCTTGGAAGCAACTGTTAGGACAAAGTGGTTGCCAAGCAAGTGAAGGAAGTTCCTGAAGGAAGTGACCTCAACTCACTTCCTTGGTGATGGAACTCTCTGAACTTGGGATCCAGGAAGCCAGGCACCCAGAGCCAGTCCCATTCCCAGTCCCAGTGGGCTCACTTGTTTGGATTTACCAAGGACAGGGTCAGTCTTTCTTGGTACCTACTGATGTGAGGATGGCCAAATGCGAGGAAAGTTCTGAAGAGGTGACTTTCCTGAGAAAGCAGGTAGTGAGTGGCTCACTGCTGGCCCCTGACAACTTTACAGAGTTGGATAAGGAGGCCAGATCTGAGAGAGGACAGGCCATTGTGGGGGAACATAGTATGGCCCACCAGTCAGATGACACTCCGGATAGTCACAGATCTACTTGGGAAAAGGAGGTGCCTTTGTGGGTGTGGGTGTGAGTTTGTGGTTTTGTCTCATGTTCTGAGAATAGGTAGGAAAGGCGGTTTGTTTGATTGGGAGTTGACTGTTTTTAGTAAGTCGTTTGACAAGGTGAGTGTTTCTATGTCTGTGTATCCCACTGTGTCCCTGGTTGTAGACATTAGAAAAGAGAATGCATCATTGGATGTGTCTTGTCTAGTATAAAACTTCCCAGCATTCATCCTGCCCAACTTATGAATTTACTTTAGCTTGCCTTATGGATGGGCAACA